TATATCTATATCTATAAATATATCTATATATATATATATATAAATGTATAATACATAATAAAATATAAACAAATGTGTTACATCTTGCCAAGTTTTACAGCAATATATATTCATATATTTTCTTTTAATAGTTTATAAATTCATTTTTACATAGATAAATTGGTTTAGATATAAAATTTATGTAAATATATTTATATAGATATAAAATTATTAAAAAGAAACAAACTTATTGATGTAACGTTATAAAATTTATTCGTGTAGATGTAATATTACTAAAAGAATAAATTTAAATATTTTTTCACTTATACGAAACATTTCATGTAGAGTTATAAACATATGTATTTATGATAACAGAATATTTTCTCTCTCCAAATATCTCATACTTATTCTATTTTTATCTATTAACATGATGTTTTATGGTATAGAATTTCTCATAAGTAAAAGTTTCTTTCTTAAAATAAATAAGCAAAAAAATAAAAAATAAAATAAAATAAAATAAACAACTGTATCGCTATAAAACTTTTGCTGTAGTTTATTTATTTATTTTTTTTAAATTGTATAAAGTTTTAAAAAAATGTTTCTTAAAGAAAAACGTCAAAAGTAGATAAGTGAGAAGTAAATTGAATTAAGTAGAATTTGCTCAACCCTTTAGCAGTTTCTATATTTGTTCAAATTAACTCATCAGAAATGTATACGAATCTTTTGTATAAGCAGAAAACGACTGTTTGACTTGAATGCTATTGTAAATCGAATTTTCTTTCTGAATAATTCAATAGTTTCTGTTGTGAAGAACAAAGTGGATTCGTACTTTACAGCACATGTAAGCTTACATATTTCAAATGTTCAAAAATTTTTCCATAAATACATAAATATTGTCTATCACTTATCGAATCAGCAATGGGGGAAAAAGTCATAAATAAATATATTTAAAATATACATAAAACATTTATTATTATTATTTATCATTAAGTTGATTTAATCATTTAAAGTAAATAATAATAAAAAAAATATATATTTCAAGACAAATTAATTTTGTTAATAATATAAATACAAAAATTACTTAAAGCAAAAACAAATTAAATAATTGAATTTTTATTAATTTTTTAAAGCAATTTATTTTAATTATTTCATTTATAATATAATTTATTAAAGTAAAATTATATATTTTTGATTAAATCAAGCATTCTAATATTTCCTAATTAATTGTTTTAATTTTGTAAATTAAATAATCTGCGGTGTTAAAAATATTTTTCTTCGTTTATCTATCACAGATTTGCATTCTTAATAACATTTCATAGCATAAAATAAAATATAATATTAATTTATTATATTCAGAGAAATTGTTTTCCTATCGACT